ACAAAAATAAATGAAATGTTCTTCGAAGACAAATAAAATTGTTCGAACAACGAACTTTTGAAACTTTCCGATAAAAAAACAATTTTCTTTTTTTTTTGCTAATTTTACTAATTGAATATTGTAACAAAATTTCTTCTATGGAAATAATATCAACGTGATTGTTGTAAGTATGAGCAAATTTGATCGAAATTTGAAGCTTCTAATAAGCGAAAACAGAAATTTGACAAAAAAATGATCACTCTCTTTGTTTATAGCACTTTTATAGCAGTTAAAACAATGGTTTTGATTGTTCTCCAATTTTGTCAATGGCCTTTTTTGAGTGAACTATGCAATTTTTGAATTTAGATTTTTTTTAAAGAATTATAAACCAAAAGAATCATAGAAAAATAGTTCTCATGTCGAAAAAAATTAATGCATTAGAGATTAATATTAGATGGCAGCACTTATGCAACTTCTTTATTTGACATTCATGAAAAAAAATTGACAAAATGGAAGCACTTTTTACATTTTTATTCAAAAAATCAGACATGTAACTACTAATTTTGATGCCTCATTAAGGTGATAGTTTCGTTTATTGTAATAGATTTAAAAAGAATCAATATATTTATCTATTGAATGCTGCTTTTATTGGTTTCTATTCTAGTTTATATTAACCCTCTAGTGCATAGCCCTCCCTGCCTTTAGGCATGGTGTATAAATTATTGTCTAAAATATATAATTAAAAAAAAAAAGATTTTATTTATGAATTAAAATACATTCAGTAGGGTTCAGGCTTTCATTTTCCGGTCATTTGACAACTGGATGTAAATCGGTTGTTTAATTATAAACACGGTTGTACTCGAAAACAGAAATTTGACAAAAAAAATTATCATTTTCTTTGTTTATAGCAGTTTTACTGCAGTTTAAACAATGGTTTTGATTGTTCTCGAATTCTGTCAATAGCATTTTTCGAGAAAACCATGCGATTTTTTGAATTTCGATTATTTTTTTAAGGAATTATAAACCAAAACAATCATAGAAAAATAAGTCTCATGTCGAAAAAAAATTAATGCATTGGAGGGTTAATAAAATTATTAATAATATAGTTTTCAGAAGAGAAACAACGATTTGATGACCGATAGCCAACCATGGATATTCCACCGACACAGAACTCAACAAAAACTATTTTAAACGTTTTGAACAACGATTGTATCGAGGATATTTTTCGACGAGTGAATATACTGGAAGATTTTTTAAACATGGCTGAAGTATGTAAAAGATTTCAAGAATGTGCAAAAAGTTGTTTTCGTTCTAAATATTCAAGAAAAGTATTGAGATATGCACTAGGCCGCAAATTTCTGTACACTAGAGTGTTTCCCATATCTATAATTAAAAAAATGGTATTTTTCAATTTAAAGAGCATAAAATTCTGTTTTAAGTCGTACCATTAATCTAAAGCACCGATTGATATTGACACTTCCCGAAGCAAAAAACTCTTTAAAGCAAAAATTGTCTAAGATCTTAATATTGAATTAGTATTATTGATGTGAACCGAGCCTTATGACATTTGACGATCATTTCATTGGTTTTCGAAATGTCATAAACGCCGCTTCATTCATACCGAGAACACATTATTTTCGATATACGTGCATTTTGTATCGATTTGATCCGAACTTTCCACACTTGATCAATCGATTGACAAATTGTTGAATTCAAGTCACCAGTGTGAGTAAACTTAATCATTTTATTACCGTGAAAAATATTGGTTAATTCATCAATAAAAAATATTATTTTTAATGAAAAATCAAAAATTGAATTACGTGCTTACGTGCAGTTATTCCTCTTGTTCTTATTGTGAAATTGATTTTTATTTCATAGCACGTAATATAAGCCATCTATAACGTGAAATATATTTAAGTAGTCTAATAATTGACAGCCTAATAGTAAAACCGAAATGGAAGAACTTGAGCGTAAAAACATGATGCAAATTCTTCAGCGTATATAGAGAACTTTCAAATTTTAGAACAAAAAGAGTTTGTAAAAAACTGAGGGCAAAAACACAATATATCGATTACTTGTTTTTGCCCGCAGGCTGGATATGTCGTGTTTTTGCTCTCAATTTTGTCTATAGTTTTTTTTCCTCGCAACAATCGGGATCTTGTTTTTACGCCGAAAAATTGATTTTTTTATACGCGTGTGATACGACAGTGTCATTCCAGCGGTCTTCCGTGTGTTTCATACAATCCTCCCATGTAAATGGTAAAAAATGGCGAAAAATGAAAAAAAAAATTAAATTTTTTTTCTTCAATTCTCAAATACTACTCAACTTTCTGTATCATCTGGTGAAATCAGAATGAAAAAAATCGCATTCCTTATCATTCAAATCACGATCTGGATTTTTTTCACTTTTGGAGTGCTCTATACCGAGTCTCCGAGAGTTTCATATAAGCTTGCTATGTGATACCCATTGAATAGTGACCGAATGCCAATCGCGATTTTGATGATATGGAGTGCGATTTTTTTCATTCTGATTTCACCAGGTGATACAGAAAATTGAGTAGTATTTGAGAATTGAAGAAAAAAAAAATTAATTATTTTTTTCATTTTTCGCGATTTTTTACCATCTATATGGGAGGCTTGTATGAAAAACACGGAAGACCGCTGAAATGACAAACGCCAAATATATACGGATCTACGTCAATGTCATTTCAGCGGTCTTCCGTGTTTTTCATACAAGCTTCCCATATAGATGGTATGAAAAATCGCGAAAAATGAAAAAAATAATTAAATTTTTTTTCTTCGATTCTCAAATACTACCCAATTTTCTGTATCACCTGGTGAAATCAGAATGAAAAAAATCGCATTCCATATCATCTAAATCACGATCTGGACTTTTTTCATTGTTTGAGTGCTCTATACCGGTCTCCGAGAGTTTCATATAAACTTGCTATGTGATGCCTATTGAATAGTAAGCGAATACCAATCGTGATTGAATCAATGAGCGTCATTTGGCTATTGCAAGGCGAGATTATATGAAACTCTCGGAGACTCGTTATAGAGCACAAAAAGTGAAAGAAAAAAACATTTTTTTTCTCAATTCTCGAACACCACTAAATGCTCTATATCATTTGCTGTGAAAAATTTGCTATCTCTTTCACCCAAATCGTGCTTGGCAAATGGCAAGTCGTTGTCTCATGCTATCACGCTCACCCTTGCATCTATAAATGTTTACAATGGACATTCTATATTCACACACAACTCACATTTGTATTTTGCTGCGCAATAAAAGTCATCGACACAAAACTCAAAGCGATGACCAAATACATTGTTAATAATTTTATTGCGCAGCAAAATATAAGTGCGAGATGTGTGTGAATAGAATGTCCGTTGTAAACATTTATACATGCAAGGGGGAGCGAGATAGCATTGAGACAACGATTTGGGTGACAGAGATGACAAATTTTTACGTTCTGATCACACCACATGATATAGACCATTTAGTGGTATTCGAGAAATGAGAAAAAAAAAAAAAAAAATTTCACTTTTTGTGCTCTATACCGAGTCTCCGAGAGTTTCATATAAACTCGCCTTGCAATAGCCAAATGACGCCTATTGATTCAATCACGATTGGTATTCGCTTACTATTCAATAGGCATCACATAGCGAGTTTATATGAAACTCTCGGAGACTCGGTATAGAGCACTCAAACAGTGAAAAAAGTCCAGATCGTGATTTGGATGATATGGAATGCGATTTTTTTCATTCTGATTCCACCAGGTGATACAGAAAATTGAGTAGTATTTGAGAATCGAAGAAAAAAAAATTAATTATTTTTTTCATTTTTCGCGATTTTTTTATCATCTACATGATCGTAGATATATGGTCCGCCTCGCTCATAAAAACATCCGTTTTTTCGGCTTAAATACAAAACTCCGATTGTTGCGGGCAAAAGAACTATAGATAAACTTGAGAGCAAAAACACGACATATCGCTTATTCACTTTTGCTCTGATTTTGCGTATGTCGTGGTTTTGCTCTCAACTTTGTGTGTTGAATTTTTGCTCTCGATTATGATATGTGGTATTGTTTTACTCCAAACAAAAATACATGCTATTTTTACGCATAAGAAAATTAAGTGTTGGTTTTACTATCAGGCTGTCAATTATTTAACGTTGAACATATCATTTCATGAAAAAAGTAATGAATTTCACAATTATTCTGCAGTACATAATTCTGTTGCGTGAAGTGGTGAAATTCATTTCAAGCGGTGATACCCATTTTGAATTGGTTCCATTGTTCAGAGAAGAGAAACAGTTATTGTTTGGGCTCAAATTGAATCTGAATACTCAATAGTATGCGTTACATTGTTTTCTTCTCTAAATCACTGCCATTGTTATCAATCCGAAGATTTTTGTCATTTTTGTGTGCTGCATCATTTTGTGTGTGTACCAAAAAAGGAGATAGATTCTTGTTCTGTTGTCGCTCGAAAAAATTGAATTTAAAACATGTGTGTGCGTGTGTGCATATTTGTGCAGGAGATTTATTCATTCGTAAATTTCTATAAAAAAATCTCGATATGGATCAATGAAAATGTCTAAATATCGCCAATTCAATAGTATTCGTTTTTAAACTAAATCGAATGTGTGTTTTTCTAATTAATTTCAATAGAAAAATGGCAAATCGTTACAAGCCGTCTCTACCAGCTGAGGGAGAAAAGAAAGATGAGATAACGACGATCAAATGTGCACTAAAATCAATAATTCGGCCGCCATACCAGCAGGAACTGATCGGCAAAATAACTGAT